AAGATGAAAAAATAATGAAATAACAGCGGAAGGAGACAATGACGAACTCAAAATTTACATTAAGCCCACTAGCACAATCGGGCACTTATCCTCCTCTAAAATAGGACAGACATCTTAAATGACCAAAGTTTTGTGTCTCAAAAGTGATATTCGACAAGAAGACCTAAGGTATTAAATCAGTTTTCTATTGCCACATTCCCGTAATCAACCTTAAGCGAAAAGTAGTTTCAAAATCTGCCCCAAGGTGACACAATTACAAAATGCCTAAATTTTCAAAATAGCGCATAGCTATCACTCTATCCACCCTGATTGAGCCCTTACCAAACTCAGCTCTGTGACCATTATAAGCCCTCTGTAACTTCATCCACCAGAGCCTTCCAGTCTTTTAGAGTAATTAAATGAAAATTAAACGGTAACTAAATTTAAAAGTTCAAATCTTTCAAAACAAGTAGCTTCTTATATCTTACTAACTAAACAGCCAACATTACGAGAAGAAAAATAGAAACGAACAAAACCTTAACACAAAAAACATGCAACAGTTACAAAAACTGGCCACCAACATAATTTTCAAAAGAGCACAGGTCATTGAAACTAAACAAAATATTAAAAAACAGGCTTTTTTCAACGGCCCAGAGTATTCAAGTGTAAAATCAGCACACTTTTTCATCAAAGTGTCACTAATATGCTTCAAAAAAAAAAAAAAACTAAAATCCTTGACAATGAAAAATATTCTGAAACCCTTCGTCAGCCTCTTATGACTCTGCAAATTCAGATTCAAAATGAATAAAGAGAAGCCGTCGTCTGCGTTCTTGTCACCCATTGACCTACACAATATTGAAAGCGCCACACTGCCCTAAAGGCCTTACTGACCTAAACGCTTACTCGATGCCGTACTGATTCTCCAAAACCAAATACTTCAGTAACTACCCAGTCTTTGTTCTATCCCCTAACTTTGTTGAACATAAAATCCTTCAGAATTTTCAATTTAAAGTCCCTCAAAGTCTGGAGACAAATTAGCTTAGATAACGTAAAACTACGAAAGCAACAGAGACAGCTAACTGTTAAAATAACTACTAACTGTATCCAGATCCAAACCTGTAATACTTAAAAGAACAATTAATTTGATAAAATAACAGTATTAAATGAAAACAAAAACTAATCTCACCAAACACTATCAAATTACAAATATATTTAAGCAGTAATTGTGCGACATTTAGCAGCGGTTGTAACAACACGATATAATGAATATTAAGTCTGAAAAAATTAAGAAAACTGAAAGTTGGAACAACCAAAGTGTAGAATTTACCAGTGGTGCCAAAAACAAAAACTTAGAACCCGAAAAATAAAATGTATGAAATCTAAAGACCAGAAGACGATCCCGTCAAATAATCATAATTTGTCACACTCAATTAAAACTTCGGAAGACACAATTATTTCCCTTAATCGGTTTTGAGAGTGAATAGAAATTCTGTACAAAAAATAAAAATTTAAAGTTTTAAAATCGAAGAAAATCCTGCAAAAAAAAAAATAAATAACAAGATATAAGAGAAAATTTTTTTAGATATAAACGGCTCATACAAATTTTAGTAATCAGAAAATAACCGGTATATTATACTTATTTAATAAAGCTACAGTGTATAGTGAAGTTCCTTCTGCTGGAAGAACTGACCAAGATAAGCACACATCTGCAACGAATTCCGTCTTGTATATAGCATTCTGAACGCCAATAACTACTGATTACTGTTTTACAGTAAATTAAAGTATTTAAGTTATTAGCCTGCAAATTATAACGTGGACCTTCTCCGACTCCATTTCTTTAGAGATTCCATGACTCCAGTGACACAACGAATGCCTGTGTTAACAACCGTATGGTGAGTAGTAATATGGCTGCTACACTTTATTGCTTTAGTAGTGTACCTTTATATCCATTTAAAGTTGAAACAACTAAAATGGTAAAACAAGTAAAACAAAAGCACATCGGTAAGCAGAATATCAATTTTATTTGCACTGTTATCACAGTACAATGATAAACAAAAGGGTTTTTCCTCTCGTTTCTTGTAGGGAAAAACAAAGATGTCTAACAAACAAACAAAAAATAAATAAATAAATAAATCAAAAAAATTCCTCTCTTTTTATCCTTCAGATGAAAATTTAAGTGGAAATTTGTTTGCTAGAAAATGCTAAGGCATTTCTAATCAACATAACTAAATTAAATTAATTAGCAATTATATTAGTTAATGAAGCATCATCATCATCATCGTTATCATCAGCAGCAGCAACAGCATAATTAGCATCATCAAATAACTGTATACCAAGCTAGTGGCAACTTTAAGAAACCGAGTATCAATAAATTTTAAGGTAACTACATTTGACAGATACAACTTTCGCACGTATAAAACTATAGCAGTCAACCATCGCTGCGCCCTTTACGCTAAAAAATAGCTCGTTGCGCCACTGCATTAACAAGAACTTTTCCTCTGTATGTTCTGCTCTCTTTTACACCCCTCACTAAGAACTGCTCAAAATCCAACATTTCAAGCACTGTTTCCTCTGCCGCTGTTGCTGCTGCTGTTTCTGCTGTACAAGTATATATCTCCGCCGTTATACTATTTCTTGACTCCGCCCAAATAAAAAACAATCTTCAGCAAAGTTTCATCGTTCTGGAGTTCGCACTCGTTCGAACTATCCGATTTTCTCGAAAAGCTATTTGTTCAGTACCCTAGTGTATTCGGCTTCTCTGAGGTTATACCGCAGCAGTTTTGCTGGTACCATGCTTTAAGAATAAAATTAAGGTCTCATGATAACCTCGTTCATAAAGTTGCAACGTATTCTGTTCGTAGAAATCGTAGGACTTACACTGTAAAATTAGGTAGTTTTCTTCCGGTGTTCATTCATACTTCAAAACGAAATGCTCATCGTTATGAGCCTTACGCAATCTGATGGCTATATAACTTGTTCCACACAAATACTGTGACCTCTTGGTCTCCCGACATAGCTAGCTCGTGAAAGCTCAGTGCTTGTTGCGACGGCACGCGAAATGGCCTCAAGGCAGCAGAGTGTAGTGACTCAGACATGGCTCTAAGGAGAAGCTCTTGGAGGCAATGTTGGAAAGGTCAATACGACAGTAATGGTATATAAGGAGCAAAGTAACGACGAGAGTTCAGTTCCGAATAAGTGTTCTTAATAGCGTTCTTAATAAGTGTTTTTTAAATCTCTTCTATCTTCTCGTACTGTCAAAGTTACTCGATTCTAATCTTGTATTTTCAGTTTTAAAGTTTGATTATTGATTTCATTTAGTTTATCATTATATAAGTTTTGTCAACTTTATTTGTTTGTTTTTATTGTACGATAATTCTTCGTAATAGGGTAGCACTAAAGACCTGTGGTCATTGTTGCCTTTCAATCAATAATTTCCGTTGATAATATATTATATATCCTCAAGGAAGATTGCGGGCTTGTGTGCTCCGTGATCTTTCCTTATACTTTGTATTCCTACAGCTTCGTTGTTTATAATCGAATGTTTCAACAAATAGAGAATTATCAAATCAAATCAAACGGCCAACACTATTAAACGTTACCACTAAGCAAATACAGTCCTCAAATTATAGTGCTGCAAGCGTCGGCGACTAAGATTGCTTGCGGTTTAAAGTTCAATAGAAGTTCGGTTCCCCATAGGGACACGGTAGAGGAGTTGTGATCAACTTCCCAATTAACTAGACCGTCGGTAGTCGCGACAGTGCTGAACTAATAGGTACGCTGCAGTACAGGTTGATGCTCGACATTGAGAAGCCACCGATCAAGCATACTGTATATTTCTCTTTAATAGAAAAACCTTTGTTCACCTTTGAGTAACTTACATAGCTCTTTTTATGGCATGATCGTCACAACTAATTAATTTTTTTTTTTCAAAAAATCATTTTGGACTGTTTGCAGCAGCTAAATCAAACTATTCTTTATTGTGCTGTGTAAAGTTTCGTATTTCTACGACACACCAGCGTGATATGCAAATTTTCAGGGCGGCTATGGTAGTAAAATAGACTTAATGATTATCTTTTGGCCGTTAGTCGCAGAAAACAAACTTGAACAGTGGTTCAGCTTCTGATAACGGCAATTACTTTCTGTGGCATTCGCATCCGAGAAGAATTCAAATTTTTGGTTCTTGTGGGATTATCTAATTTGTTTACCGAAGAATAAGTTGTTTTATTGTATAAGCTTATGAAAGTATTATACGCTCCTGAATCAGTCTTTTTACGTATTGAGTTGCAACAGAAGAAGAAATTTTTTGTGTTGAAGAACTTTATTTTTCTGTATGAAAAAACTAATTATGTTGGAAGTGTGAAGCTTATTGTTTTTTTTAAAGGATAGTTGTTTCATGCGGAAATTTTTTTTAATAGACAACAAAAGAATTTGTAAAAAATTTATTGCACATCTTTAGCCAACTGCAGGATAAAGGCGTAAATGGAGTACAGATAATAATGATCAGTTAGTTTTTGAACGTTTAATTCTCATTTGTCGGTAGCCACACTTTTCTGCTTTAAAATAGAGACAAAGCTTTAAGAGGGGCAAAAGGACTTTTGCTATGCACCATTTAGCTGTTCCCTTTGCAGTTCTTTAGAAGTACCTTCACAAGAGTGTACTATTTTTATCCGTTTAGCCACTGGAAGTCACTGGCCAACTTTTGCTTCTTTTAGCGCTAAGTAGGAAATTATGAGAACGGTACCAAAACCAATGCACGTATCGCACTTTCCAGATACTGTTAACTGATTTTTCTGAATTCTCTTTAGATGCAGTCATATGCCTCCAACGAAATTGGAAACTCTGAAGAGACATTTGACATTTTAAATGATGCTAATTGGGTTATCTTATTGTTGCAATTATTGTTATGAATTAGCTACCAATTATTTAAGAAAACTCAAATGTCTTTTTTTGTAAGAAGTGAGGGCGAAGTGAAGGCATTGTAGGTCGTGAAAAACAACAGGAAACTCTTCAGTTGAAAGTTCATTAGCCGAGTTACGACCAAAAAGTTGCTGGTAATCAATATAACATTGCTTTACCGTCCTTCCGTTTGTAATCTTTTTAGACCTTTATTGTTTAAATTTTTTTCGTTTTCTTATTTGCTCCTTTCTTCTACTAATCTAATTTTTTTTAGTCGCCGTTTTTAGTGGGTTGTTTTTTCCTCCATCATTTCCTTTGTCAACCCTTCTTCTTCCCAATTTTTTCTTACTTTTTCCGATTTCATTCTATTTCATTCTTTTAATTAGTTCCTTGTTCACGTAAATTTTTAGGTTTCCATAAAAAACTGTCAGTCAAATATCAGTGCAATTGTACATTTGCTTGAATTATTGGTAAATCCATTGGTGGAGTTAAAATGAAGCGCTTGACAATTTGGGCAAATCGGGAAGTAAGATTAGATTACTGATCGATTTCTACAGCTGCAGAATCCATGAGAACGACTGTCACCTTTTATTGTCTCGCTTCATTACTATGCCTGTCAAACTGGGTGCTTGGCGGAAAACTTCTTTAATTTCAAAAATAGAAATGTCTTATCAGAGATTTCGATATACGGAAATTTTGAAGAAGCAACGCCAAGAAAACAGCGTCTTCAAAACCAAAACTTAAAACTGAAAAAAGAGTTTCACTGACCATTACTTTTGGAAACTTAAGGACAGAAAAAAAAGATTACACGTTTTTGACATGAGGGCACTTGTCTCCGTCTTCGGCAATAAAGCAGTCGAAAGCTTATGGAACTATACATTGTAACCACGGACAACATCACAACAACGTTGTGAAAGACTAACGCTTTCGCAGGATGCTGCAGGCATGATTAAACTATCACATCAATTTTACAATGAACAACGGAACTATGCCGACTGTCTAGTCAAGAAAAAGCAACAAATAAACAAATTAATAAATAAGTAAATAAGTAGAAACTATACAGAATCAAAAAATTTTTCCTTTATTTAATAACTTGGTAATCTGAACAACTTTTTATAAGTTCAACTCACATGTGTCCCATCTTTTATATGTGGATCGAAAAAAAAGCTTTCAACGACGTGTCATAAATTAGCGGTCTCTTAAATAAAAGAAAATAAGCCCCATACAGACCTGAAGTATTGAAGCTAAACCCGTTATGTACTCGCCTTTGTTAGCCGTTCTAGCACCAAAATCAGGTTTTATTCGTACAGTACCGATAGGCAGGAAAGGGAAGGAACATGCAAAAAAATGTTATTATGCTTATAAGTTGTAATATAGTATACCGGGTACTGCGCACCATATCCAAGGAACGCTGTTCTCAAAGCGTTTCAGACCAGGCACAAATAAATCAGTGAAACGATCGCATGCTAATAAAACAAAATATCCACATCCTGCAGCCCAACTACCTAAAAGGAAACTGCTTTTTTTAATAAAAATCTGGTATAAATCCGTAATATCTAGCCATTTTAACTCAAGTTATATAGAAATATCAATTCCTCTGCAAACAAAATCAAATAAATAAAGAAAAATTTTTTAGTATATCTGAACAAGAAAAAGTAAAAAGATTCAGTAGAACAAAAATAAAAAGAAAAAATGCTAAAAGGAACAGTTAATGAAAAATCTGTTAGTTGACTAGTTCTCCAACTTAAAAACGATTAGCCATTGCAACACTTCCAAGCACATAGAAGAACAATGGCGCATCACAGTAAGCGGTTCCCGTAATGGACAATAAGCCCGGAATATCAGCGCAAGCAGTGAGGCAAATGATATCGATGATACCAAGGAAAAGCATAATTTTAAAAGAAGAATTCTTCAACAGATGACGTCTTGTCATCACCACAATACATGGTAAATATATAGCCTAAAAGTTTCGAAAAATAAACTCTTATAAGGCAGTTTTAGAATTATGCGAAGAAAGACAGTAATAAGAGAAACCAGTGAACAATTGTAAAAAGCTGATCGCTGGTTTACTAAACTGAACTGCAGAATTGCAGTTTAATTAATTCTGTTTATCTCATTTCCATTTCGGTGTTGCTTATCATAGAAATTACAAAATCTGATTATAAAATCAGTCAAAACCTTTGCTTGTGAATACATTTAAAGTCAATTTATCAATTTTGAAATGTTTTTGACTAATTTTATATTAATTCTTCTTGAAAGTACATATGCATTATCTTCCTTGACTTGATTAAATAAACTTATTTGATCATTTCCGTTATTTTCGAAGCAAACTTGGCTTCCTTTACATAAGTAGTGATGAATCAGAAATAAAGTTCTGTACCAGATGTTGATATGTAACAAACATGAAGTAGTTCTTGATGTTGAAATGAAGAGATAATAACCTGATAAAATAGTCCGAGGCACAAATAAACAACCCCAACAACCACATTAGGCTTAACTCCTATTTTTGATACCTCAACGTTGTACCTGGAGCAGTTGTACTGATCTGGCCTGGGTTACTTTAATTAGTTTTAAAAAGACTCAAAGTGATTCTCAATTATTTTTTTTAAGGATTATATGACACAAGTTCAGAACAAAGATAATGCTAAGTGAGTAAACCTGTAGAATGCCTGATAGCGCAAAGCACAAAAACTTTATTCTTATCTAATTTCAGGTCATATTCAGTTAGACGATTAGGAAGTTAGAATATGTTTTTGCTAAATATTTTTTGGTGGCTCACTTAGCAAAAGAATATTCTTTTAGAATCAGGTTTTTTAAACGAGTTATTACTTGGAGAAAAACTGATTAAGCTGCATCTGATACGATTAACTGGTACTGACATCTTCGGTATCCAAAAAGAAGACTTTTTTTAGTCTTAGAAGTTTTTACCAATTTCTAATTTTATAGGCATTGAGTTGAATGCTTGATGCTTCGAAATAGTTCAATTTGATAAAAATTTTGAACTAATCAACGAATATGCTGTCAGGACCACAGTTATCAACTTAGACTAAAAATTAGAGAGGAAGAGTATTAAATAATGACTGTTTACCTGTAAAATACCTAATTTTTTTGACGTAATTTTTCTTCGACGAAAGTTTGAATTTTAATATGATGAAAGTTGATGTAAGTTACATTTTAACATTTAACATATATTGTCGTTAACCCATTGAAAGAAAAACCTGGTGTTATAGAGCAAACGAAGAAGACCTTGCATTTAACAGTTATTAGCTCATCAGAATACCCTGAAATTAACAAAACTAATTAACGTTTAAAAGCTATTTCATGAACGTAACTGTCTATAAAAGATTGTGTAAGTTGCTGGAAGAATAGAATCATTAGAATTGTAGCTTCCACTCTGATATTAATTCAACTTTGCGTAAAATACTGATTTCTGTCACTTTAGATATTTAAAATTTCTGTTTAAAAATTTACACCAAGAAAGCACTGTAACTGTACTTTAAAAGTGGAATATTTTCATTGTCTGATTATATTATCGGATATTCAAATTACTTTTGCTGATGTTGCTCTGATGGTATCATTTTGTTGCCTTTATTTCTATATGACATTTTTACCGAGTATTTCACTGATTTTCGTTTTGTCAGTAATTAGTACGGTAAAAGCGTAGTCAAGCAAGAGAACTAATAAAAAGTTCTTCCAAAATATAGTTTGTCTGAACGACAATCAAAGAAAGATATCCATTCTACAAAATAAAAAAAAGGCAGCTAGCATTATAGCAACCGTAAAATGATAACGTAAAATAGTTCTTGCACTGCTGACCGAAGAATAGTTGTAAAACTTAACGGAGTATAACAGAAGCGACAATGTTGTGAAACATAAAACCGAAAAACAGCAGAATGAAGAAATCTGTAAAAGAGAGAGGTATTCGGCTTTTAGAAATCTAAGTTTATAATTTTGATTTTGTCTTCTCAAAATCGCCTCGTTTGCGAAAGTTCAAAACCTATTATACTCCAGCGTAACTTTTTTCACTTTCTTCATCTTGTTATACACTTTCAAAAGAATATTGTAAGCAAGAAAGTATCTCTACAAGTTTACTCCATTTCTTCAATTTACTATATTATTCGTTTCTGTAATTTTACGTGAAAAGAAAACTGCTTTTTTTAGGTATTGATCGAAAAACTGGACAGCAAATTGAAAAGCAATGTTCTGCTTTTGTTTTTGAAAAGATAAACAAACAAGGAACAGTAAATGTAGAAAACGTTGCTGGAAGAAGACTGTCATAAGGGACCGTAAAAAAATTATATAAGTTTTTTTCTTTGGAAAGATCTCACAATAAAGTTTTCAAAAGGAAGAGAAAAGTATTTTTGAAAATTTTAATTTTAACCTTACACTAGTTTATCTGTACTCCTCTGAATTTATTTTGCTGATTCAAAAGCAGCAAATTTTTGTAAATGTCATTTAAAAAAAAATTTTTTTTATTCAATATATTTACATTACGTATTTTGCTGCATAAGGGTTGTCATAAAGTTGATCAGAAAGTGTCTATACGGTAACAAAAGCGCAAAAATTTTTTTGTTGTTTAGGAGTGTTCCATAAAATAAAATTATTTTTAATTTAGCGTCTTTTGTTTTCTTAATATATTAATCAGTAATAATTACAGAATTGTTTAAGCATAAGTTAACATATGTTACTTTAGTAAACTGAAAAAGTCTAGGTTAAATGTGCTGCCCAAAATGGTTACTTGTTTTACATTTTTTTCTAAAAATAAAGGAAATCAAAAATAAGTAATTTTTATCGAATTACACAAAAAAACTGAACCATTCTGAGGCTAAACCACCTACTGTATACTAAGTAATATAGCTTACCTTTCTTACATTCAGAAAAGGAGATTAGAAATACAAATTAATACTGTAATTCGTTTTGGTTGCTACTTGTCAATCTCTTTTTCCTTTTCTGAATGAGTAAGAATGACCAGAGAGAAGTATCAACGGTGAAATATTGCTCTGCGATGAATTTTATAAAAGGGGAAAAAATTTTGTTGTTGACAAAATTATCTAGTAATCTGTGAGCAGTGTTTAGTGTCTTTAAGAGAAAAAAATTGAATAAATTTAAAACCCGATGTTCCGTAATAATGACATTGATGTTTTTGTCCCTTTCGTGCTTCCTCCACCGTTTTTTTTTTATTTTTTTTTTGCTTAATTGTATCTGATCTTGAAACAAATGCAACATGGAGAGTTTTCTTTTGCACTTGTCACAAGATTCATTTGATAATAAACCAAACAAGGATCTAAGTTTTGGCTTCTTCTGACAATGTTCAGCAACACTTTAGCTACACGAAATTTTTTAAAGTTTGAAGTACAGCAAAAACCTGAATTACTTAGAAGAATTGCTGACATTATTGTTTATCAGATTATAGCAGCTCCTTAGACATAACTCAAAGCAGCTCTCTGGCATTCCTTAACTTTGTCTTAATCTGTAACATACATTACACGCGTTCTTATTATCAAGAAACTTCACTTCTCTTGTAGTAAAAGCGAACATCCTAAGAGTAAAAAAAACAAATAAATAAATAAAAATTCTATAGGTACACATATTATCTTGCATTTTATGTAGAACCAAAATTGTGCTAAACTACTATCGAAAACTTTTTAACAATTAAAAGCATTAGACACGCTTAATTATTATAAAATATTTTATTTCCTTCTGGACTGATAAAGACCGTCGTATTAATATAAAAGTATAAAAAGCAATTTCAAAGTTCTATACTAAAAATCAATTTTGCTAGAACATGAAAATTTAACTGGCATTGCTTACTGTAAAGTCGCATCATATTTCACTATCAGCCCGCTAAGTAGCCAAAATTAATTAGAATAATCGAAATATGATCATCATAAGGAACAAGTGTACACAGTTGTTCTATCAATTTTGAAATTGTACTCTCAAAAATTAGCACAAAAACTTAGTGTGAATGATTCCCCATTTTAATTGCTCTAAATGACATCTCTATCCATCTTTTGAAACAGTTCTAAAATTCAATTTTTTAAATTTAGTGGTTTCTCTGTAAAAAACTACAATACTGCTGCAGTATTGAACCATTTCTTCTGGCACTTTTTTGACGTTTTCAGCAAAACTCAAATAATGGTAGGGAATATAAATAAAAAATAAAAAAAAAAAAGAAAAGACGATGAAAGGAAAGAAAAACAACAGTGACAGCAGCGACAGCAATAAGAAGAGCAAAAAGTTGACACACGAATTGTTTTAATTTAACTAAAACCGTCTAATGAGAAAAAGAATTAGCATAACTGCAGTTTTCACACAAATTTTTTATTTTTGTTAACTTAACCTAAATTAGCGTTCAATGAAACGTTATTGTTTTGTTTCACTTTGTTCTACTTTATTTACTTTACTTTAATTTTGTTTTGTTTTGGTTTGTTTTTTTCTTGATTTTTCAATTTAATAAAGAGAAAAGAAAACCGTTTTTTTTTTCTTTTTATTTTTCTTTTTTTTTTT